GCAGGAGAATCACTTGAACCCAGGAGGCAGAGGTTGAGGTAAGCTGAGATTGCACCATTGCCCTCCAGCCTGGGCAACAAGAGCGAAACTCCATCTGAAAGAAAGAAAGAAAGAAAGAGAGAGAGAGAGAGAGAGAGAGAGAGGGAGGGAGGGAGGGAGGGAGGGAGGAAAGAAAGGAAGGAAGGAAGGGAGGGAGGGAAAGAAAGAAAGAAAGAGAGAAAGAGAGAAAGAGAGAAAGAGAGAGAAAGAGAGAGAGAGAAAGAGTTTGAATAAGACAGGAGTTGAAGAGAGGAAGGAGATTGGTCTTAATATTCACCGAGCCCTAATATTTGCTAGTATTGGTGGAGGATATAAAATCGTGGGATTCACACTCACCTTCCTCATCTCTCCTCAAACGTTACCTTATGGAAGAAGCCTTCCCTGACTACCATATACAAAACAGAATAGTCTCCGCAATCATTGCATTCTGTGTCTCCCTTACTTTACTTTTTAAAAATTAAAAACAAGCCAGGAGAATTGCTTGAACCCAGGAGGCAGAGGTTGCAGTGAGCTGAGATCGTGCCACTGCACTCCAGCCTGGGCAACAAGAGTGAGACTCCATCTCAAGAAAAATAAAAAATAAAAATAAATAAATAAATAAATAAAACAATTGACACCTTTATTGAGGCATAATGGATATATAATAAGCCGTACATATTTTGAGGGTACAAGTTGATAATTTTGACACGCATATACACCCATGAAACCATTACCACAATCAAAATAATGAACATATCTATCACTCCCTGGAGTTTCCCCACTACTCTTTATAAACCCTTTCTCCTACCCCTCCTGCCCACCATCCCCCCTTAACAACCACTGAACTGCTTTCTGTCACTCTAGATTAGTTTCCATTTTTTAGACTTTTATATAAATGGAACCATAGAGTGTGTGCTTCTTTTTGATCTGGCTTCTTTCACATAGCATATTGTTTTTGAGTTTTGTCCCTAAAGTAGTATACATTAATGGTTCATTCCTTTTTATGGCTAAATAGAATTCCATTTTATAGATATACCACAGTTCGTTTTCCTTTCCTTACTTTGTTTTACTTTCTCTGTAGTATTTGTCACCTTTTGACATTATGTTTCTATTTTTGTTTGTTTGCTGTCTCCCAGAATGTAAGTTCCATGAGGGCAGGGACTTTGCTTTGTATACTGTTACAACCACAGTGCTTGGCATATAGTAGGCACCTAATAAATATTTGTTGAATACCTGTATCTTACTTCAGACCTTTAGTTAACACAGCAACAACACAGCTTTGATATGATATTGATGTTCTGATCATTTATCCTGAAAAGCAGTATTGGGTTGGAAATCATAACTGGAATTTTGAAAATTGTTTCTTGGTTGTCTTCTCATTGATATATTATAATGAGGAAAAATAAATTATACGAGTGAAGATTGATCTTTTAAAAGACAAATTAAATATCGGTGTTCAATGATGTGTTTTTGGTGCTATAAATTAGTTTATGCAGAATTTATGAGTCAAACCTAGGCAATTAATTCTGATGGTTATTCAAAAAGAGTCAGCCATAAGGACAATTGGGAGAAAGCAGGGATTAGTTAAGATGAAATACAATTTTGAATAATCAAAATTTTACTGTGTCTCAAAAGAAATGCATTGTTTGCCCTGTTTGCCATGTGTGAGTGTGTGTGTGTGTGTGTGTGTGTGTGTGTGTGTATGGCGGGGGGTGGTGTGGGTGTGGGTGTGAGAGAGATCCTGCTTACTGAAACATGAAAACCTTGTTTGTTTCAGGATCAGATTTGCAAGTATGTCTCCCTAAGGGCCCAACATGCTGCTCAAGAAAGATGGAAGAAAAATACCAACTAACAGCACGATTGAACATGGAACAGCTGCTTCAGTCTGCAAGTATGGAGCTCAAGTTCTTAATTATTCAGAATGCTGCAGTTTTCCAAGGTGAGTTCTGGGGATTATTTTAGATGTGCTGCTCAATGGCATCATTATTTGGGCACTGGGCTTTCAAATGCTAAGTATAATTTATAAATTACCATTCCAGCATTAATGCTTGATATTTTTTTTTTTTTTTGAGACGGAGTCTCGCTCTGTAGCCCAGGCTGGAGTGCAGTGGCCGGATCTCAGCTCACTGCAAGCTCCGCCTCCCGGGTTCACGCCATTCTCTGGCCTCAGCCTCCCGAGTAGCTGGGACTACAGGCGCCCGCCACCTCGCCCGGCTAGTTTTTTGTATTTTTAGTAGAGACGGGGTTTCACCGTGTTAGCCAGGATGGTCTCGATCTCCTGACCTCGTGATCCACCCGTCTCGGCCTCCCAAAGTGCTGGGATTACAGGCTTGAGCCACCGCGCCCGGCCAATGCTTGATATTAAAAACCTCCTAGTGAGAAATTCTGGTTTAAAAAATCACATTTTCAGAGAAGCTTCATTTCAATCTTTGGAAAGGTGAGTATTGTCAAAAAATCATTGTTCAAGGACATTCTATTTATCTGTATATAAAGGTTATAAATCTCTACAGAAAGAATAAATAATATTTTATCTCAGCTGGGTTCAAAAGCAAAAAAGTTTCCTTAAATACTGAGCCTGGTTTTCTCCAGGAATGAGTCAGATGCTTGTGGGACACATGTGAACTCCTTCTGACCACTAGGACCATTTCCATTTAAGAGGCAGACACTGGCTTATTGGCCCAGCATTTTCCCATTTGTGTGAGTGGTGACCTCTCCTCTCTTTGTGATTCTCACTTCTTACCATGCCTGTGAATGATTGCGAAAGAAGCTGTTGTGGCATTGCCAGAATGGGTAGGAAATGACACTTCTCCTTGCTAACTTGTAGGACTATCATAGCAGGATGGGGAGTACCTCCCTCAATTCTAACACCCAGCTAGGAAGATGATGATGATGATGGAGTTGGTGGTGGTGGTGATGATAGCAAACACTTATATGGCACCATGTACTAGGTACTCTTTTAAGTGGTTTACATGTATTCATTCTTTTAATCCTCACAATGTAATTATGAGTACATATTAGTATCCTTATTTTGTCGATGGAAATCTAAGGCACAGAATGATTAAGTAACTTGCTCAGGGCCCCAAAATTAATAAATAAATGGCAAAGGCAGGATTTGAACCCAGGTGGCATGGCTCTTAGAGTCTATTCTTTTAACTATCCCCATAGGCTGTCTCCTGTGACTGGGAAAATTAATTATGGATATCCACAATTAATTAGTAATTAATTAATTATCGAGCTTTCTTCTATCGTTCTTCAAGCAGAGGGAATCAGCCACCTTTTTCTTGCCTCACCAAGAGAGTATCGAGGTCAGATAGAAAAATAACACTCTGACTGCCTGACATAGCAAAGCTTGAGATTTATGACACTGTTACAAGAATTAACCTCTTTGAATTATAAGGTGGGTTGATTATAGCTTATTTTTGTATTAGAATGAAATCTTTAGAATTAGCTAAGAAAATTGTTTAGATTAGTGAATAAAGCCTACATTCACAACAGTTTCTTGGGTCAAAGCCTCAGGGGATGTTAGGCTGATTATATGAAATATAACATGTAAGCTTGAAGTATTTGTTAACCTATTTATGCAGTCAAACTCTTGTGAAGAGTTTGTTGAGACTAACAATTTGGTGATAGAATGAATAATTTAGGCAGATTTTAAAAATACATGTAGCATTCATGAACTTCTTAGATTGGTTTTGGAGTTGATCTGTTGGATGAAAGTGGGGTGAGAAGAAATGATGTGACACGAGAATTGAGTTGAAGCAGAGAGCTGAGTCTTACTCTTTGGGGAATCAAGGTCCCTTTTTAGAACAGAGTATTAGTGATTTGTTTAATTCCCAGAATATCCAAGCTCACAGATGTTACCTTATAATCCTTGTCTGATTGGAGCGGAGTGGCAGAGTGATCATACTGGTATTTTAACATACATAGTAGCTGACATGGTTATCTATCTGAGGGCCTGGGCTGTCAGTATTTACACCTCTGTCCAGTTCTGCACTTTGCATACTGTGTTTTCTAGATCTGCAAAAATGTGAGACTAGGAGAGAAAAGAAGTTCTGACAAGATTTTAGTTGGATTAGCTTCCAGATAAGCCTGCTGTAGCTTGGAGGCTGAATACTAGTACTGTGAACAGAGGGTAGAAAATGGAGCAGCATCTACTAATTGTATCTCTCTCTCCCTTTCTCTCTGTCTCTCTTTCACTTACACACACATACACTTTCTTGAATTGTGGGGATAGACAGAAGGACAACCCTAGCAAAGGAACTTGGAGACAATGAAATGATGTCTGAGCTCATTATTGCTAGTGCCCTTTACCTTGTCACCATCTGTACTCATTCTTTATCTTGTTTCACTCCCTCTTCTCATTCTTTTCCTGCCTCACTTTTAGAAAAAATAAACCTCACAAAGATAAATAAACCATGATCCCAGACCTCAAGGCACTTGTACAGTGTTGCAGAAGACATTGCACCTAAATCCTTTTGTAACAAACATTTGTAGAGACAGGACTTCAAACTGGGGACCACTACAAGATAATGTATTATTAATTGCTAAGAAAAAGAGAGCATCCACTTTTTTCTTTCTTATGACCGTTTATTATTCCAATGAATTGAAATTAAGAGACACAATTGTTTTTCCCCTAAAATACATCCCCTCCCCAATATTCTGGTAGACCAAATTAGTGAGAAAACCATCCCAGTACTTCACTCATATGAAATTTGATATGACAGCTTTTGCTAGCTATTTTCTTCATCACATGAAGTTGAAGAAAGCTCATCTTGATCTTGGCCTAGATCCACAATCTCTTTAGTATTCCTTCACTAGTCCACATTGAGGGTATTTAAGCAGTGAGTGCTTTCTGCAAATATGTGCACAGTTCCACGAGCAGTCCTTACTGCCTCGATTTGGATTTGATGTCTTCATTTGCAGGAAGCCTTTGCCCTTATAAATGTGCCTGGGGCCCTTTGCTACAGTGGTTGGAGTGCTCTATTGCTAATGTTGTTTTGATAATGATTGAAGCATTTAAAAAAGTTGTTCTTTATTTTCAATCTTTGCATTGCCTCGTTTCCTAAATTTAATTTACTTAGATGTGCTTAGTAAAATGAGGCAGCACAATCACTTTTTGTTTCTGCTTAATTAATTCTTTCTGAAAAACTCCACTAAAAGTAGGTTTTCCTTTCTCTTTTTCTTTTTCTTCTCCCCACCTTATAATAATTATGATGATAATAATAGTGAAGATTTATTAAGTGCCTACTATATGATGCTTACTTTTACATAATTATCTCATTTAATTTTACCAGTAGCTCTACGAGGTCTGTACTGTAATTATCTCCATTTTACAGACGAGGAAACTCATTGATGCCACAGCTTCTTCTGAGCCATCATATGACATGGCTTTGCTTGTTCTGAATGTACTTGAGGTAAAACAAAATTGAGAAGTTGAATTTGTGGTTCTTGTGAAGAAAAATGGAATAGAATTCTGAATTTTTCATCATCTCACTACCACCTCTATACCTTCAAACCTTGAGTTCTATTTTCTTTGTAGAATTTTATTATGATTTTCAGCCTTGTACTATCAAGAAATATTTGGGGTACATCCAGGTCTTTTCCAGATGTTGGATAATTCTAGTCTTCCCCAAGGTACCACTGACTTTGAGTGATAATAGACTCTTTTATATGCAGCAATACCTTGCTTTTTTTGGAAGTTGCCTATCCCACAACTTGAACTCTCTTCATCAGAAAGGAAAAATAGTGGTTAAGCAGGAAATCACCTCATCTGAAAGGTTTTTGGGTCCTTGCTTAGAGCCTACTACTGTTCCATGTTTATGTGTAGTCTTCACACACTTGATTTTCTGGCTTTCTAGGGGGGGATCCAAGAACTCACTAAATGTGGCACTTGGGGACATTTAATAGAGGACCATACTCCTGCAGGCCACAGTGGCTCTTGTATTACATTAGGTCCAATGTTCACAGTGTGGTTACAAGTAAATAAGGAAAGTTCAACTTACATTCACTGTCCTTTTCTTAATATTTCCATTTTAAATGGCTAAAATGAATTTCCTCAGTGCTTAAGATCAGTGAAAGAAACACTGGACTTGGAGTCAGAAAATCTAAGTTCAAATTCTAGATCTGCATTTATGAGCTTTATGATTTGGGGCAGTTATTTAGATTCCAATAGCCTCAGTTTTCTTATCTGCAAAATGGACATAAAAATTGCAGTCCTGCTTACTTTTGTAAAGTAGAAATAATGAATGTGAAAGTATCTTGAAAACTGTAAAACACTATATGCATGCATTATCTAGACAGCTCATTTATGTGGACCGCTTCACCCCAGGTGGTGCCAAATAAATGATGCATTATCATTACAGACATTAACCTCGACAAGGCTGGAGTTCATGATGTACTTCAACAACTTTTGCCACTTATAGATGATATATATGCAAACAGCTCCAGTGTACAGACGAAAGAGTACTTAGGCAAAACACTCTTTGAGAAAAGGGTTTATTTTATGCACTCTTGGATGTGAAGCTGTATTGTTTGAAGTGTCAATACTGCCAGGAGTAATCCTTTTTTCAGCTTCCTGAAGCTTCTCTTCTGGCTAGTATCTGGTGTATTTCATATACGAATAAGCGGCTAGATCAGGAAGGGTTTGTCGGTTCAGGCCATATTTTAATTGCATTTTTTGGTCCACACTGTTATGGCAGAGAGGAGGAAAAGGTTGGTATAAGTCTGGAGATCTTCAGTTGATCCTCACTCAGTATTGGCAAGCTTGCTTTCTTCTACCTGCTTTCTGTGGAGATGAAAAAGACATCTCTGAATGCGGGGGAGGGCAATGTTTCTGTGCTTCTTCTGTTGTTTCTCTCCCTTATTTTCTGTTTCCATCAGCTCTTGGCAGTTTTTAGACTCTCTTCTGTCAGATTCCTGTCTCTCCCACTCCCCCTAAAT